GGCCCGCGCCCGCGCCCACAATCGCAAGGCCGGCCTGCACGAACGCTGCGAGGTCGTCTGCGGCAACTTCCTCGAGATGCCCTTCGACGACGCCTCCTTCGACGGCGCCTACTCCATCGAGGCCACATGCCACGCCCCCCGTCTCGAGGACGTCTACCGCGAGGTCTTCCGGGTGCTCAAGCCCGGCGCCCTCTACGTCTCCTACGAATGGGTCACCACCGCGCTGTACCGGGCCGACAACCCCGCCCACGTGGAGACCATCCGCGGGATCGAGCGGGGCGACGCCCTCCCGGGGCTCCGAGCGCACCACGAGATCGCGGAGGTGGCGCGGCAGGTGGGCTTCGAGGTGGTGGAGGAGCGGGACCAGGCGTTGCCCCCGGCGGAGCCCTGGTGGACGCGCCTCAAAATGGGGCGGATCGCCTACTGGCGGAACCACCTCGTCGTCTCCGCTCTCGCCGCCCTTCGGATCGCCCCAAAAGGCGTGGTGGATGTGCACGAGATGCTCTGCGAGACGGCACGACATCTCAGCGAAGGCGGCGAGACCGGCATCTTCACCCCCATGCACATTATCCTCTGCCGGAAGCCTCTCGTTCCCGCCTCCTAATCAATTAATATCCTGTTCTCCTACTTCTGCAGTTGTCATCACAGCGTCTCTCTGCTTTTAACTTGTTAACTTCGTCTTCATCTCTCAGTGATGTTTTTCGATTCTTCCCATTTCTCGTTTGATGAAATCTTTGTGACTATTACTTTTTCATTGAAATGTACGGGCTGTGTGTGGGGGTCAGTTGGAACGCACAACGCTGCTGCTGCTGCTGCAGCGCCGTGAGAGATACGTTCTACGAGACCTGCATCTTCACCCCTAACCTTAAAATATTACAGGAATTGCTTCATAATTTTTACTATATATATTTCTCTCTCTCTCTCTCGCTTTCGCTCTCGCTCTCGACTTCTTCCCATTTTTCTAGTATGTTATTTGCACTAACTTCGATCAAAACAATGAACCTAAACGTCGCCCGTAGGAGTGCATTTCCCTCATGACAGAGAGAATCAAAAGCATCCTATTTCAAGACTTTTCCGAAGCGTAAGGAGGAAATAGTTTTGGAGTTGCTTTCCCATCAAGAATTAAGTTCTATATTCTGAAAGTGGTTGATATGGAACATCAAGCGAATGAAAAGAAATAGACATCATCTTTGTTTTTTTGGCTAAATCCCGGTTTGAAGCTTCCTTCCTTAGACTTATGCTAAAACGTTGTAGTAGTAATGTCAAGATTGGATTTTTTTCTCTTACAAATGATAACAATGTAATAATGTTATACGTCTATCGAATTAATATCAATTCCACACTTGTATATTTCTTGGAATATATAATTGTGCTAATCACTTATATAGTAACTACGGCGATTGTTCACATATTTCCTATGATTCCTCTTTGAGTATGAACTCTCATAAGACGATGGATTTTATGATGATCTATCTAACTTTTTAGCAACTATGCTATCTAGCCTCTAATAGAATATATTAGATCAGGTTTTGAATCCTCATCCTTACTAAATTAGTCTTAAAAGAAATACTATAATTATTAATAAATATAAACTAAAATTAAAATTTTTAAGGTTATTATATAGATTTTTATCGTCATTTAGATTTTATTAACGTTTAATATCTTAACCAATTGAGATAATATTTGTTGATGAAAAAGAAATTAAAAAAAATTAATTTTATGATAAATTAATCATCAACAAAGAATGCACCTCTATGAGTTTATTAGATAACTAAATAACAATGTAATCAAAACAAAAATTTACTAATAAGCCTATAACAAAAACATCTTTGTGAATACATAAATGAGCTTATTCACAAATCTACGGAAACAAATGAACTAATTAGTGAGTCCAAACGAATCGAGTATGGATATACTCAAAATATACTCATTTAAAAATCACACTTCAAAAATCGTGTTCAAGCTTTCTTACCTTCACTGCAATTGGCGCTAGCTTTTAGGTTATATGGGTCCCACATGTCATTTAACCAATCACAATTGCGGTATGGAGGGAATAAGCGTAGACTTCCGGACGAAAACCAAAACCCTTTCGGCTTCTTCCGGTCCCTTCCTCGCAACGTCGTCGACCGACCTACCGCCTCCGTTTTCTTCCACGAGAAGCAAACGAAACCAAAGCCTCCAAACCGCATAACCCTAACCTTCTTCTATCCCCAGACGCCCAAATCCGATTCCCTTCCGAGATTGATCATGGCCACCGTCTACCGGTAGAAGAACTTATACCCTCTCCGCCCAATTGATCTCCATCCATGTATCTTTGAGTCGATCTTGTGTTGTTTGACTTTGTAATCGACGTTAATGGCAGGTGCGCGGGGTGCGGAGCGGACCTGAACCTGAGCGCGGCGCACCTGTATCCGGCGGATGCCTACTTCGAGGCCGGAAATAAGGGCACCCTCTCCTTCTCCTGGATCGACGACGCCAGGTTCCGCTTCGCCAAGGAAGACCGGATCATGCCCTTCTTCGAGACGGTCAACTACTGGGGTATCCAGCGACGGCGCACCCGCATCCTCTGCGACGCCTGCGGTCGCCTCCTTGGCCACATCTACGACGATGGCCCCCCCATGATGCGCGGCCACGGCCAGTTCGGCTTCGGCCCCAGCCAGGCCATTCCCCGCGCCCCCAGGTACCGCTTCAAGATCAAGGCCCTCAACATCTCCTGATCCTGATCCGTGATGCATGATCACGGTGATAGATGAACGCTTTGTATTTTGTTTTTTTGGTATCACTAGCTCTGATCTGAATTCTGGAGTAGACTTTTGATAGAAGACGGTTGACGTATTCTTGCATCTTTCTCCCTTTTGTAAAGGTATCAGATGGACTGTTGTTGACAGATCCACTGAATAATGTTATTGCGAAAGCATTGTTGATCGAAATAGACTTGTGTTGTGCCTTCGAGAAGATTTGCCTTCACGAAATGTATGAGCCCAGTGTTGATGTGTGGGTTCTGGAGAACTCGGACATGTGTCTTTGATCTACCTCATTGCTCAACCCAATTGGCTCTGCGTGTGGAGCCTGGTAAAAGGGTTCGGGATCAATCCAATACCCCTTCTTTCTCCTCCCATCTCAAAGTAGGGCAGGGAGCATTGCTTGCACTTCCCTCGTCCCGCGCAGATTTTGGCCGAGGCTCCCGCACCTTCGGTGGCGATCGCTTCACGAAGGGTCCGACACCATCGAGGAGCTCCTCGACCGTCACCTCGTCAAGAAGAGCCCCAGGAACGACGACAAGGACGAGCGGCGAAAGGGCTGCTTAGCATATGCATTACTGCTGATGCAGATATAAAACGGTGTTGTAGAGCGTTCGGTAACTACATCGGCATCAACTCAACACAGATGTAGAGCGCTCGGTAACTGCTAACGTCACTTGACATTTACGTCGACGTTGATATAGATGTCAAGTGATCCTTTCACTGCTCGACAACTACATCGATATTGATGTAGATGATGGTAGTTGTCGCAACATCTACGGTGAAGATGGTGGTCGTCTCGCCACTGACCCATTGGGTGAATCGCTCAATCCGAAGTTGGGGTCACCAGAGCTCCCACCATTGCCCTCGCTACCGCGTTAATTTTATTCGCCACGATCGTCGTTGACCGGGAAGGAAAGCTCTCTAATATTGGCAGACGAGCAGTTGTTGAGCTCCTGATAGATGATAGATGTATCCGGCAACAGTTCTTTATCTCTCGTCGTCGTTTTTCTCATATACAACAATCACCCACACCCCCTAACAGCGTCGTCATCTGCCATCAGTAGTGGCATTACCATCCGTCGCCATTGATGTCGTCCATTACAATTGAAATATTAAAATTATCTTTTTAATCTTTATTTTTAAATTAAAAATATAAAAAAAAAAATTAATTTCTTCAATGCAGCTCTATCTAACGATAGTTAATGCTCTTTCCCACTGGAAAATATGAACAAAAAAAAATCAACAAAAGCTAAGTTGGTACCTCTTATACATCCTCTCAAAACATATAGAAATTGGTATAATAAATGTAAAATAAATAAATCAAAATAAGTCAGATCATATGATCACAATTCTCAAAAATCAGATTTGGTAGCATAAATTAGAACAAGGATCAATCTTAAGTCACAAATATAACTCATAATAGATGACTTAGGTCCGACACTCGATGAGGCGTACTCTCAATAATAGACAGAGATGCTTAATCCGTTGGGATGAATTCTCTTCCAAGAACAAACGAAGTGAATATATATCGTACTCCGAACAATATATAAAACGATATCCCTCATCTGCCAAAGTATAAACAAGGTATTACATCTAATAGTCTATTAATTCCCAAAGGAAATCATCATCTAATATATTAGTCCTCCTCCAATTGACATCGATCACATAGGTCCTTTTATCATATTAGTTGCATAACTCATATAGACTTATGCTATCATATACATCTATCGATTTATAAATCATTCAAGAATATCAATATCATGAATCATACCCTAAATAACTCTTTAAATAACTTGAACCCTAGTTGAATAGGTCCAATTGACTTAAATCGGACTTAATTTAACATGGATCTAACTGAACCAACTTATAATCCTTATTAGAATAGTTGGGAATCACATTAAACTGATCTAATTTAAACTTGATTATATCCAATTTAGGTCACAGCAGCTTGGACCGATCTAAGTTGGTTCGGAATCATCATAAATCGGTCAAACCAGTTCGATTCGGGTTTAATTTAAGGGCCAATTGGGTTCAAATTTACAAACCAAGCCTAAACACTGGGCCAACCCAGGCCCGAGTGTACCATGTGCATGACACGTGCAGTGGACAAGGGGCGGGCTGCTGGCTAGGCCGCTGACAGTGGGCTGCGACCGTGCGGTAGCATGTGGACTACCAGAACTGAGCCGCAAGAAGTGGGCTGCTAAGCCCGTTACTGGGCCGGGCGGAGCCTATTAGGCTGCGACAGCTTGGTCCAGTCGAGCCACTGGACTCGAGTCGAACCTGAACCCAGGCTCAGGTCGCCCCAGACCGAGCCACAGGTTGGGTCGTGTTTGATTTTAGGATAATTTCATTGAATAACCTAATGAGAATATTTGATGAGATCACATGATGTGAATCCTAACCCATACTTCTGGAATATATGGATGGTGGTGGAAAGAACAAAGTCCTCACCAATAATTGATGAGATTACGTTCATCTGCTTGGTTTCCCAACAAGGGAAGAATGTTACCTTCCCGATCCGATCTCTTTGATATTCAAGTTAGTAACCTGAGTATATGAGTATAGATGCAAGTAGTTAAAAAAATAATTTAATTTTTCATTTTATACTTGATTGTAAAAGGGACAGAAACAAACTGATGATGATATACTCACTATGACGTTCTATCATGACTTTTAATTTGGTATCACATACCTATTTATTTCGATCTAGATTAATTCGACTTGTTATCATATTATTTAATAATAGAACTACAGTAGATAAGATACTCACATATCTCATCGATTTTTTTTGTGTGGATAAAGAATGATATCGTATCTCTTCGTCTAAATTATGGAGGAACGAGAACAACGAGGAGATTATTTGCAGGGGATTGGGGATGGTCGGAGCAGAACCCCTTCCGTCACGTCTGGTTTACCATTGGTCTATCAGAAACAATGTATTGAACCAAATTACTGTAGTTGAAGTTGGCGTTTTCATCGCCTCCCGTCGCCGGACCTGAGAACTCTTTCCATCACCCTAATATCCGTACGTCACAGTAATGGCGGCTTTAGCTCAGCAGCGTCCATGGGTCCCCTTCCTTTATTAGTACTGTCATCGCATCACACCGCCTGCTTCGGTGCACGTTTTGCTAGCTCCTAAGACACCGAGGAGGCTGCTTGCTCGCCTTCTGCACCGGGATCACTTGCTAAGAAAACAAACGTAAAGATGATGTTCTTCTGCGTTCCAAGAGCTGCTGCAGCCGCACTTTTCATCTTCCTCCATCACTGCCTGCTTCTCCCGGTGTCTGTGCTATCCGTCAACCAGACCGCCGCCCTGGTGCCGGCCGTGATCGTGTTCGGCGACTCCATCGTCGACCCGGGTAACAACAATGTGATGAGGACCATCGTCAAGAGCAACTTCCCACCCTACGGCAAGGACTTCATCGGCCACTCGCCCACGGGAAGGTTCTGCAATGGGAAGATCCCCACTGACTTCATAGGTATATCGACTCATTTCCACATCATTCGTTCTTTCATCTGTACCAATCCAATCAATGAAAAGTTCAACGTATAAACGAAACCTAAGTGAGCCAACGTGCCCAAAAAAAGGACTTGTGTGCATGGATAATGACCCAAGTCACGCATTCACTTCTCGGCGTGTTATCTTGTTTTGATTAGCTTCGACCGTCGGAGTGAAGGAGCTTTTGCCGGCATATCTTGGAACTACGTTGGGACCTGAGGATCTACTAACCGGTGTGAGTTTTGCCTCGAGTGGGTCGGGGTTCGACCCTTTAACCCCAACACTAACGGTACTTATCTTATCCCTGAAACCACTTCTAGGGTTCTCGAGCGTTCATTGGCACGTACTTGTTAATGTCTATCCTTGTTTATTGATCGTCTTTGGTGGGGCAACCACAGTCGGTGCTGTCGCTGCCGGATCAACTGGAACTGTTCAAGGAGTACAAGAAGAAGGTGAGAGGCATTGCAGGAAAAAAGAGAGCCAACAGCATCATTTCTGCAAGTTTATACGTTGTATGCGCAGGGAGCGACGATATAGCCAACAACTACTTTCTTCCCGCATCCTTGAGGCAGCATTCTTATGACTTTTCTTCCTATGCCAAATTCCTGGTACACAAAGCCTCTGGTTTTGTTGAGGTAAGGCCTTCTAATCGCTTGTGCTCCATTAGTTTTGGGTGTTCCTTCTCCAAGTCTTATGCTCGATGCAGACTGTTAACTAGTATTTATTATCTTATCTGCCGCTTTACTTCATTAAAAATGCATCATTGCGACATAAATATGCTGCTTACGTTCATTCATTCTCTGTTGACTTGTTATGAACATAAGCACATTCTGTGATAATGGAATTATTGAGACAAAATTATACGAAATGCTCTCTGTGGAGTTCTTGACGAAACTTGAAGCTTTCCATAGACAATCTAGTGGTTACCATTACACACAGATCACAGCTTTAGGTTTGATGGGGATACCAAACTAACAATGTAGATCAAACCTCTGCTCCGAGAGCTCATAAAAACACAAGTCAAGGAAGAGTTTCACTAAACTCCTGTCACACTAGCTAGCGAATTCGAGGGCCACATTTATCTGCACTGGTTTCACTTATATCAGAAGAATAGTAGAAGAAAGATAATATACGAAAAAAAGGTTTTGAGTCTGAAGGATATGACTTTAGAATAGTACTTGAAAAATTTATGAGGAGGAGTGAGTGGTCCATCACAAATGTAATGCTTCTCTTCCAGTTTCTGAACTGATGGATTCAAATCTTCTACTGTAACTCTTAAAAACGCCAGCTCGAGTTTGTCCTCTTAGTTAATTGAAGGAGCACGAGGAGTATATTCCGAACTAAATGCAACACTGTTCATAAACAGTACGACAATGCATTTACGACGGTCGTACTCTCATCGTTCATCCCTTCGCTGGTCTGTATCACCTTGCTTCTCGTGCTTGCTCCGGTGAACAAAGTCGACTCTGGATCTGTTGACTGAAACCACCACAAGCCAAGGAAATCTCAGTTGCACCGAGTGCCTGAAGCTTGGAACAAAACGCTTCGCTTGCACATGAGCGTCCTGAGGGGGTTCATCGACCTTTCTCTATCCCACAGTAAATCAAATCTTACTGCAGCAGTAGCAGCTATCTGCTTTCCTTTTTCTTTTCGTCAGTTGCCTGGCTACCCAAGATGGGAAAGAGAAGATCCTGTGAGTGTCATAAAGGAGACGTGTCCTGTCGTAGCACCTGTCGCTGTGAGGACGGTTGGCGGCGTAGTTGGGGCGTAAATGTGTCACAGCCCCCCCTCCCCACATCACTTAGGGACGCAGTACTGTCTGACGTATTGTCCGCTGGCGACCAGTCTTGACGAGACGTGGCCTACCTATTGAACCATTAGACGTACCAGCTTGACTTAAAATAAGATATCCCATCATATATTTATTATGAATCCGATTGAAGATATCCTTCGACTTCAATATCACATGAAAAAAGCTTCATCTCCTTTGATAGAAAATTGTCCCACCAGAAGATACAGGATCAGTGAGGATCGAAATAAGATCATCTGAGTTGTTGTGACACAGGACTCGCCATCAATGGAGATTCCTTCGGGACCGGAACTCACCTTGTTCATCACTGACTTGTATAAGTTCTTTTCATCTGAGTTGATTATTAATATGGTAGCTCATATCACCTTAGGAAATAGGAACAAGTTCTTAAAGGCTTTGATTGTAAGGACAGTTTTGCCATGAACTCAACTACTTACACCTGGATATTTCAAGACACTTGAATCCGCTGATCAAGTTCTTGGAGCAACAAGTATGGATGTTACATTTTCGTCATTCCAGGATTCTATTTTATCCTCATAATTATCAGCGAAAAACATTTTAATCTTTCCTACACTGAGTTGACCGCACAACCCTTTTCAGCATTAAGGATTAGGTGAAGAGCTTCATCATGATCGAACGTCTCTCACTGCTAACTCTTTCGGCCTGCAGGATCTGGTCAATCTCGGAGCGCGGAGTGTGGCTGTAGTGGGGATTCCTCCGATCGGATGTGTGCCATCTCAAAGAACGTTAGGAGGAGGGATCATGAGGTCTTGTGCCTCCGGTCATAACCAGGTAGCCCAGCTATACAACTCAGGGTTGAAGGAGGAGATGCAGAGACTCAAGACCAAGCATCAAGGAACGAAGTTGGTCTACGTCGACATCTACACGATCTTACTCAACATGATACTGCATCCGAATGCTTACGGTAAGTCATTACATATCACATCTTATTTCACTTGAATATTTACCGAGTGATCGAGATGCTTTGTGTAGGGTTCGAGGTTTCAGCCAAGGGATGCTGCGGCACAGGAGACCTTGAAGTCTCAGTATTGTGTAATGGATTGACAACAGTCACTTGTGCAGATGCATCCAAGTACGTCTTCTGGGACAGCTTCCATCCCACAGAGAGAGCCTACGAGATACTGGTGGACTGGGTTCTCAAGACGTATCTTCCCTACTTGCTTTAGCGCGAGAGTGTTGTGGACGTCATCTGAAGTTTAATCAACTATCTGCATGGTGCCATTTCCATTTCCATTTCTATTTCCTGCTCATCTGTTTTCACTGTCTACATGTCCTTTGTATCTGTCTGGTACGAGCTACTTAAGTCGCCATTGATGTCTAATATAACCTCGCGTGTTCGCCATTGATGTCTGACCTCTTTTTATACTATGGTTGCATTATACATTCACTCATTAGGGTGCCAAATAATATAATGGATATATAGTGTAGAACAACCGTTCTAAACGTAGAGATAAGGCCAATGGCAGCAATCGACATTGGTAGGAGCCTTACTTCACCCTTAGGATAGTGTTAGGCCCCATATTTGTCCCAAGTCAAGTCCAAATCAAACAATACATTTTTCTCCGTTGTATTTATTTGCCTATTAACTCTCTAAATTTAGTTTCTAGTTGATGCATCAATAAGTTCTATCATCAACTAAAATTGTCTTCATATCATGATAGGAATTTAGTTTACCAATTTAGTATGATTTCAATAAGAGAGAAAATTTGTTTGATGAACTCGAAGACATGCGATTGAAAAAATGATGGTCGAACTTAATTAAAAAACTTATGATAACTATACAAAATCAATTAGTAGAGCTAAATTCGATGATCAAATCAAAGTTTGTGTTAGAATTTACGAACAAATGATATAATTTTACATTTTCAAATATTAGGGAATACTTAATATATATTTAATTGTATTTATATAATCTAACGCATTGTCCTATCAAAACAACAAAAATAAAAATGTGCACTAAATTGGTATGATTAAATGATGTACAAAAATGAAATTGTCTACTTTGGTAGTTTTGACTAGGATAAAATAAAGAAAAAAAAGATTTGAGATAGGCATCTTATAATTAAATTTATATAGTGAAATTAGGTTAAATAATTAATGTTTATAATACGAGAAGATGTAGAGCGAGATGTGAGAAGATCTTATTGAAAATGATAAAAAGGATATTTGTTGACTACATTTATTTCAGGATTATATGAGTGGATTAATATTTTTAGTCCTCATTAAATTAATAAAAGATAAGTTATCTATATTACAAACACAATGTATTTATTTATTTTCATTTTTGGCCCCAAGTAATTGAGACATTAGTGCTTTTCGTAATTGGCAATCAATAATCATTCTATGCAATAACATTGAAAGATAATATTACATAACTATTACGATTTGGAAAAAGACTTGAAAGCTTGGCCATTAAAACCTTAACCTAGAGAGAGAGAGAGAGAGAGAGAGAGAGAGAGAGGGGTTGAAAAGTGGCTGCCACATTTGTGGCCAGACTACCACAAGAGACTGCAACACAGGAAGAACATGACATGGTCCACCACCATCACAGTAGTTGAGCAGCTCTTGCTTTCTCCCTCACATGGAAGAGCTACGTTGCAGAAGATAGAGGGAAGACATTGGAGTGACCTCATAAATGCCTAATCTTGATCCCACCACAAACCAAAAGTACTTTCTGATCTACGGTTCAGGCCAATCCATGTTGTTACTGCTACGAAAGTGCAAAGCAATTAGACGTGTCAGAGGCAGCCCGATCTCACGTCCCATTTAACACAGGACTTTTGGACCAGAACCTGGGATGTATGCATTCCGGTGTACGTAGAAGAAACAAGTAGACAGAGAAAAGAAGAAGAAGAAGAAGAAGGAGAAGAATACAGACAGGGAAGAAGGATATGTATTTACTGTGCGACACATCACATCAAGTTAGATGTTTCATGATGTGATTGGTGTCAATGACTTGTCTTCTCTTCATCCACTTAGAGGAACAATTGGATCAACACATGGTTGATATAATAATTACCTTAAGATTTATGAGGTTTCCAACGATGTATTGGTACAGCACTTCTTCATCAGTCTCTTAAGGACCAACGGATGAACGTCTTCGTCAAACCAAGTTGGCCATCGAAAACTTTAATGCCGGATTATACGCACGGAACTAATTTGCCCGCTGAACAGACAACATAATGAGCTCCATTGATAAGCAAGTTAGTGCACACAGCAAGCAACACACAGAAGCAGATGCATATCGTTTTCTAGTCCTAATTCGCCGAAGGGAACATTAGGTATATGTGGAGCCGAAAGAGTGGATAGAACGGTGCGTAATAGTCCGACCAATAAGCGAATCACATCAGTAATAGGAGACTCGCTAACATAAACACCACACCAACATAACATGATGATTGTGATGCCAAAGACTTTCTGATTTCATTTAGCACTAATGAAATGGAAACTTGAATTCGATGTGAGTGTCTCATTATCAAAAATCAAATCAAATAGCTTTCTTGTCACCTCTCTGAAAACATCTTCAGAATTCTCTAATCCAAGTTTACTTTCTTCTGTTTAAGGTCTTCAGAAACTTTAGTAACTCAATGGTCCCAAATCTGTGATTGCAATTGATTGCGTTCATACTAAATCCAAGTTCAACGTAAACATGGAGAATAAATAGCTTCATATTTTAGCAAGAAGCCTTAAGTTCAGGGAGAAACTCATCATGCAGAAGGCTGAATGGGGCAATGGAGTAAGTTGCTTTGGGCATGCAAAAGAAGAATTAATTAGACCTATATAAGCATACTAATAAATGAGATCACTGATATCATGCAAGACGTCTTCTTCATTAATAATGACGTGCCAAATAATCATCAGAGTTGATGTCAAATTATACTATAGCAAATTCCTATGTTCTCTAGAAATCTATCTACAATTCTAACCAAATCCAACATGTAGCTCGAAAAGGCCACAAATGTTGGCTACTTAGTTGTAGCTTAAGAAGAGTAATGCTTGTGCATATAGTGAACATGTTTCCTAATGTTGAATTATCGATAAAACGACTTTCTTCCCTCCACTTTTGTAGCTATAATCCGAATGGCTTATTATCATTTACCAAACATGCACGAGAGGAAACTTTTCTTAGAAATCTTATTAAGACCATGATGATTGATCAATTCTAGGAGGAGAAAAGATGAAGTGATGCTATGAAAGTTTAAATCGAGCAAAAAGCAGGCGGCAAATGTGACGCATATCTACCGAATGAATGCTCTTCTTTAATGCAACGACATGTAAGGTAGACTTATGGTCCATGTTGTGGAAGTTTCATCGTGACTAAATTATTCATTAATAGTAAGTAACACTATATCTGATACTGTCATCCAGAGGTACTTTGTGTGCCATGTTTTGGTGCCTCAAAGATTTACTTAAACCCTAGTGAGGATGAGGTCAAACATTGAGGTAGGTTGTCTACAAGTGCTAGGTTACTCTCCTTTCATTTCCTCCTTTTTCCTCACTCCATTTCTTATCCTTATTTTGTCTCATTCATTGGACAAGTCATCAATATCAAACACACTTATTACAAGTTGAGAGAGAGAGACCTCGTTCCATAAATATTACATTTCAAATATTAGTTTAATGATGATATATCTGACTCACTTGTTAGGGGTTTAGAGTTTGAAAACTCATTCAATATATTTTGAAGATAGTAAATAGCTTAATGAGTAATAATTTTCTTAAATCATCATAAGATCTTAAGATTAAGACATGGCTTCACAATCCATCCTAAAAAAAATATTTTAGTTTGATTTCGGATGTCATCTCTCAAGCAACAAATTGAACAAACACTTCATTAAATGCCTTTGTTTCTGCATTACTATATATATATATATAGAACAAGTTGTAATGTCTTAACTATTTGTATGATCCACTGTCATATCTATCCTATTGTAACACGTAATGTAACTTTTGCATAAATATATAATGTTTTATGATACAAGGAACAAAAAGTTAAATTATTCCTGAGACAGTTGGGAAATCTGCTTGAGATGTCTTATCATGGAGAATTAGGAATGATCAGGATTCAAATTATGAGAATTAATATGGGAAAATCATTATAATTATCAGTTAAGTAGATGAAGGAATCATCTTTAAAGTAAGTCTCTTTCTAATTTAATTTTGGATAGAAGTTTCATGTTAAATACAATACCATTCCTTAGAAGATATATTTTGGATTAAACATGGCCTATATCACTTTTGCCATGCTGATTATTTATTACCATGATTAATTGGACCATTAATTTTCCCCATTTTTAGGATAGTAATTAGAAAGGGTCCAATTTCCCCTTCAGTGTTAATCATTAATGGATGAGCAGTAAAACAGGATTGACAAAACTGGTAGGACATCTATTAAATTACATGACATTTTGGCAATATGTGCCACAGGTTGTGTACAGTATGGTGAGTTGATATTGGTGAATGCATCAACCAATAGGAGACCACAATACTCTATGATTTAGATGACCAAGGAAATAGGAGATGAAAAAATATATATATTAAATAACATATTTAACGCTCTTAATATTTTATCTTATATAATATGTTACTAATAAATTTGGACATCTCAATCGAGACAATAAATACTGATTAATTAGGCTTCTATGCTCATAGAGAAAATAGAGAATGAGTTGCATGATTATGCGAATTAATTTGGAGATGTTACAGTACTTTTAAGTCCAAAAGTTCCAAGAAATCGATGACATCTTATTTCCTTAATTGCTTCTCTAAATTCATCATTAATCTTTCTTGTTACTATAATTATTATTCTAAATTCGAGTTATATAAGTCAAAGTACCGAGTGAACCACAAGTGACTTTTGCCCGCTGACCAAATATGCTACAACAGAGAACAACTGCAGCTTCTTCTTCCTCCTCGCTCTCTCCTCACCAGAGGAAATGGAGGGAAATTGGTTGGAATGTCATGATCGGATCGGACGTTCGCGCCATGTGATGCGTTCCCCCCTTTAACTGGTTGTGTACACGTCATGTGCCCCACCACAACCACCTCATTTGATGCACTGCCCCCGCAGCAATCCAATACATCCCTTTAATACTGGTAGGAAAAATTAGATGGGCCACTTTGATGCTGCGTCCTTGTTGTTATCTCACTCGCTAATCACCGCTCGTTCGATTCCGGGAACTGTGTGTGTTGGGTGACAGATAGAACACAGATCGAAAGCCTGGGACGCACAGTGCTCCTTCACTGGACCATCCATCAGCTGTCCTCTATAAGAAGGATCTGCCCCATCGAGGAAGCAGCAGCTGGGAAGGAAACCATGGGGTTGAGAACGAAAATGGCGTCTCACAGTGCACCAGCGCTCTTCACCTCGCTGCTGCTACTGATGCTACTGCTTGCTCGAGCGCATGGATACTCCTCGAATCGGACGACGGGGTCGATGGTGCCGGCGATCATCGCGTTCGGCGACTCCATCGTCGACCCGGGCAACAATGACGTGCTTGCGACCACCATCAGGTGCGACTTCCCTCCCTACGGCCAAGATTTCATCGATCACCAGGCCACGGGAAGGTTCTCCAATGGGCTGATCCCCACAGACCTTATAGGTAAGTTTATATACGTGTATACATACATATCTTGCTCCCCCTCGTTGGCATCGCATGATCTTTTAGATATACGGAATACCGAGTATATATGCATGGAGGAAGACGTTCATTATTGAGGTGTTACACTTCCTTGGGCTGTCTCATCCATCATTGCCCACGTAGAGCTAAAGGAAATAAATGGCTTTCAACGTCTCATTTATTAGCTTTCCCGTCGATCTTGCAAAAATGGTCTTCAAACATTAACCACTTGAAAAAGATGCCTCAGTTCATATGTCAGAAAACTAAGCTTCCTCTGTTCATCATGTCAGCCCATTTCTGCCGCCATTGCTGACTTTTCCAAAACAAGGTATAATTTGCTCGTCACTTAATGTTCAACTTGGTGTTAAAGTGTGTCCAGCCAACTTCTGTACCGACGTCTCTCTTTTTGTTCCATTATCGAGTTAACACATATCAAAAACTGCGGAATAAATTATATATATATACACACACACACATAACGTATGTGTGTATGTAAAAGATAATCTTCGTGTAACGTACCACCTCGAGGAAATTGGAATAGTGATGTATAGAACTGCTTTTGTTTGGAGTTATTGAATCTAAACCAGATTGCTATGGATCAATAACCTGCAGCTTCAGGGTTAGGGGTGAAGGAATTGCTTCCGCCATACCTTGGCGTTGACCTCTCACCAGAAGACATTCTAACCGGTGTCAGCTTCGCCTCCGGTGCAACCGGATTTGACCCTATCACCCCCGAGATAGTGGTATCTATCAGATCTGTCGTTGAGGACGACCTTGTCTTGAATCATGAACACTAACTGGGTACTGTTTCAGAGTGTTTTCTCCATGACCGACGAGCTTAAGCTCTTTGCGGAGTACAAAGAAAAGCTGTACGCCATTGCAGGCGAGGAGCGAGGCGCAGAGATCGTTTCCGAAGCTCTCTACGTGGTTTGTGCCGGAACCGACGACATCGCCAACACTTACTTCACCACCCCGTTCAGGAGACCACACTACGACATCCCTTCCTATGTGAATTTGTTGATCAGCGGGGCTTCCGACTTCATTAAGGTGCGTGAACTCCGGTGGAATATTGGATATATATATATATATATATCCTTGAAGACTTGCTCTTACTTCGATGCTATTATCATTGGGTTCAGCAATTACACGGCATGGGAGCAAGAAAGATCGGCTTTGTGGGTCTTCCACCCATCGGATGCGTACCATCACAAAGAACTGTTGGCGGAGGGATCCTGAGACAGTGCGAGGAGACTCGCAACCAAGCCGCACAACTCTACAACTCCAAGATCGAACAGGAGATCCGAAGGCTTTCCGGAGAATTCGGTGACGGCACAAAGCTCATCTACATCGACATATACGACGTGTTGCTTGATCTGATTCGGCGACCCGGCTACTACGGTAACCCATCCTTCTTCGCGTTCCCACTCACATCCATCCTTCAGCTTTGCACACGGGTTGCTATTTGGACTACCATCTCCTGCGTGTGTGTAGGATTCAAGGTGTCGACGAAGGGATGCTGTGGCACCGGAACGATAGAGGTGACGCTCCTGTGCAACAGCAAGACGGCCACCGTGTGCAGTGACGTGACGGACTATGTGTTCTGGGACAGCTACCACCCGACCGAGAAGGCCTACAAAATCATAGTCGGCAGCATTTTTGATAATTACATTCAATTCTTGGTTTAATGTGATTCAATGCACCTTTAACCATATTCCTTGTGCCAAAAAGAGGGAGAAAAGAACCCAATATTTCTTGTGCTTGCCTTTTCTACAAACCTCCTTAAGATGTTGTTTTCGCATTGTGAAATAAGGCCGTGGAATCAAACGTGTATGGGCTGCACTGCTACTATTACTAATGAAGTAACAAGGTTCTTCGGCCAGTTCGAGTGATGCGTTCGGGGTAATGCTGGTACCATTTGATGAATTCATGTGTTTGATTGATCCCATGCGCTCGGAGGAGCAAGCTCTGAAGTTTGATGATCATCTATCGGCCAAAGTATAACTTTATCCTTCGTTTCTTTGGCAAATTTGTGTTAAAGACCGACTCTTATGGTCAATTTTGATCAGGTTGATCTGATATTGTGATGCCTCGAACAGGGAAAGAATTATAATTTTTGTGGCTTTAGGATAATCTAACCTAAGCAACGCAGCTTGTCGTTTTGTGCCATTCTTCCAAGACACTAAGCACAGGTTGCATGGGCTCAGTCCAGATGGAGACATCGTCCATCCCATTCCAATATCTCAACATCATTCATTGTTTAGTGATATAAATAAGTATGATTAGTTAATGGTTTATTGGAATGAATCAAATTACATTGATTACACGTAACCTTTTGAGTACATTATCAAAAAAGGTTATTGGGGGCGGATTAAGAGAGAAAGGTTGGGAAGCCATAGATTCTCTAATGTCCCTTTTCCAAACTGGGCGGAGATGCTTGCACTCCAAGCAGGCTGAGTCCATTGTGACTCTCTTTACCTCGATGTTTTCAGATGCAGCTTTCTTCAGAGGTAGCAGCAGGACCACTTGAAGACAAACATGAGCTGTACAGAAATCATTGGGAACTTTGTCAAAATGTTCTGTCTCCATGGAAAAGCAGACTGATCCAAGCTCTAGCTGGTCTTATCATCCTCCACCTCACTGTCTTCTTGGCCTCTGGGTCTTCAGTTGTGATGCATGATTATTGCTTCTTTGTTCTTCACGTCTACTTTAATTTTTTCTGCCTATAAGTTTTTGTTGATATCTTTCGATCACTTGCCTTTATATATTGTTGTAATCTTAGATGTTTACACATCTATCCGCGCCTAAAAGCTGATTTCGTGTCTTTATTTGAATTCATATTCACTATAGATGAGTGGGCATAAATGGCTTCTCCATCGCCTGATCCAAATCTTATGAGCTGGCTGAGAAAGACAACTGCAAAGAAGATCTTTGCTCAGCTTCCCATCTGCAACTTGTGATCACATGAGGGTGCTTCTTGGTCTACGGAAATCAGCATGGCGACGGAATAAACAGACGAGGCGCAGTGATCTGAGTGTAACGAATTTTCGTCCTTTTAGTTGCAGCAGCAAAAATGGTGTGTGACCAGTAGCTTTTTTTGGTTCCCATCCCGGCCAAGAAATTATGTCACATCTTGATGTCACCTCCATTGACAGCGTTCAACCACTCTTCAACTTGGAGATGGTGCTGCCGGTCATATGAAAGAACTGTTCAGTTTCTGTACATGTTACAGTCATCCTGTCTGTATCTTGATAAGCTCCGACCATGGATTTCTTCTTGGAAAGCACAGCTCACTGATGGACCTGACTGGTGAGAAGGATAGCTTACTAGAGTATTATGCCCCATGTTAGCAATAAGAATCATAATTAAAGCAAGTTGTTGTATGTATTATGTTTAGTTTAGTTGGTTGGTGTCCTTGTCTTCATCAAAAAAGTTGGATATCCAATCCCCCAAAGGGGTATCACTCTTTATTTTATTGTAAAGATGCTGTGATGAGTGTTGGGAAAAAGGAGCTTTATTATGCCAAATCTTGATGATATCACACACCAAAATAGGGCTGCTGTTGTTAGAACATGGGCAAGAAGATAAGGTTGGTACTTTGTCTAAATTGTTGAGATCCATGTATGGATCCCTACAATCTTTCACCACAGATGATATTTAATATTCAATTAATTCATCAAAAGAATAGTACTAATCTATGGTAAATAATGATGATCCGTAAACCAGAAGTTTTCTGATATGAGCTGTTGAACCGAAACTGTAGCATGTGGATTCGAGCCCCATGTCGCCAAGATGCTGGTGAAGGAGAAGACAAGAACATTAAATTTATGCTTACGTTAAATATCGAGCACGTCGTCGGGCGGCGACGGCGGCATTGGCGTAGGCGTCGGCACGTAGTTGTAGTTGCGGTAAATGCATGTGATACGGGGAGGGCTGGGCGTTTCCAAGAGCCCGCGCACCGTCGGCCACGGTGCGGTCAAGGCGAAGGGCGACGGTGAAACCGTCGCACCGTAACTGGGTTGCCTGCATCGACGGCAGCAAGGCGCAGAGGAGGCGGCCACCGGAATTTGGGACGTCGAAGAGGAGCTCACCGATGGGGATGTGGGAACGCAGGCCGTCGTTGCCGCCGATGCGTGTCGGCATCGCAGTGGAAGGGGCGGGGTGTCGGCTGACTCAGTGCATCGCAAGACCCGACCCGGTTTAGATCCGATATGGGCCAATCCTTATGATCCACGACAAACAGTTTACGTTCGGATCGGACCCGAGACGATTTAGTCCGACAAGACACAGTCCATCAGTTAGTCAAGATTTGTTGATTCGAGACAAAATTATTTATCATAAGTATCTCGAATTAAATTGATTCATTAAATCGGTTAGCTGGACATTCTATGTTTGTATAGTAACATATTTATTGGGATTCATTTGATGAAATTAAAGTACTTATGCAATTTTCTGAATATATATATATATATATATATATATATATATATTCATATT